AAAATCTAAAAAAAATTAGACTACTTTAATGGATTAACCTTTTATAATAGAAGTCCATGCCCTATTGTAAAATTGGACCACTTTAATAGATTAACCTTCTATATCAATCACGTGGATTCCGAAGTCTGTGGGTGGGTGGCGCATTCTTGTTTGTTTAATTCAAATTTTTGTATAGTTTTTTTTTTCTTGAAATGTATTTTAAATTAATCAAGTGAATAAATTGATATCCCTAGGAGGGAAAGTCCTTTCTAAAATAGGTTATGCTACATGTATATCATTTTATATATTGTTCCATACGATGATATACTATTGTTCCATACGATGATATACTATTGGAAAACTAACTCATCTGGATAAAACTTTGATTTAGACATCATTCTCCAATTCGATCACTTTTTATGCCAAAAATAGGTCTGAATATGAGACTAAAACACCGGAGCATAACTTTTCGGTTGGAAATTGATTTCCGATCATCTTTTGACTAAATTTGATCATCTTGACGTCTTCCTTTATCCAATTGACTCTGGGCATTCTCAAATCTTCATCGTGAGATTCGGCACAGCTTTTAATTATTTACACACACACACACATATATATATATATATGTCATGAAATGTGTGAGTGAGAAATGGAACGTGAAGATTCGACGCACTCGACTAGTGTTGAATGTTTAATGCTAATCGTTTCGTAGTACCATTAGTATATTGAACGATTCTAAATAAAAATGACACACTACATTGTGACTGGCTACTAACTACATTACAATGAGTTCAAAGAAAACGAATACATATCTTGAAAAGCAAATCATTTTAAATAAATGCATGTCATAAGCTTGCATCACGTGTAAGATATTTGCTTACTGAATTTTAATTCATTCTAATGTTATCCTCTTACTTTTCAGATAATTCGAAACGAATATTCATGATTAAACACACAATACTAAAACATTTTAATATTGACTTCGTTTTAAAATGCAATTAACATTTTAAGTGTCTTGTAGTTTTGTTAAAGTTTCCTACAAATTCATTTCATAAATGAAAATCATTAATGTTTATTATGTTATAAAAAATTAATCACTTTATC